CAACGATTGCAAGAGAGGCGGAAGGGGAGTCTCCGAAGGAACCAAACAGACGCCAAAGTCAAACCCGACCCCGCGGGCAGACCAGCACGTTGAAGTTCAGACTCCCGCACAACTGCTCGAGCAACTGCTGAGCAACCCGGGACCCCCTCATGAACAGCCGAAGGCGGGACCACAGCCACAGCAACACTTCTAGAGGGAAAGACAAGGAGCGACCCAAGAGCCCTAAACAAGACCCAGCCAGGTCCGAACCCGGGACGGAAACAGATGGAACGGCCTCCAGATCACCAGGAAACCAAACCCGGCAATCTGGAAAGAACCACACCCCTGGCGAGCAGACAAGTGGACCGACTGGGAGCCCACACCAGCCAGTTGTCGAGGTAGGCCAGACACCGAATCCCAAGCAGACTCAGACAGGGCACCAAGATCTAGTAAAGATGCATAAATACACCAAGTGCCAATTACAAAATAAGGAAGGCAACAAAAGAGGTGGTGGGGCCTGAAGCCCCACCACCAACGGTGCCGGTCCTGGAAAACTGGAGAGGAACGTGCCAAGAATTGACCTGGAGGCCCAGGGCCACCATCCAGGCACCCGGCCCCAACAGAAGCCGGACAGGTGACAACTGTCCTCCGATGAGGGCATAGAAACCAGGGCGCAGACTGAAGAAGTCCAGAAGAACTTCGACAGAAGTAGTCCAGAAGAACTGCAGAATCGACAGGCCCACGTCTGCATAGAGCAGACGGGAACCCCAGAATGATGGGGCGGATCGACCACGTCCAATGCACCCACGAAAATGACACGACGAAGCGCAGAGGAAGAAGCCCACCCCGCCAGCCCTGAACCCCCAAAAGGGGGTGAAGCCGTCCACCGCCACCACCAGAGGCCGGAAGACAACCAAAAGCGCCCACTAACTGCGGGACCATGCGAGAGTTAGCAGAGCAAGCTGCTCCCCCAGCGCCCCGTCAACAGAGCCCCTTCCGAAAGAAAAAGTATATACAGTATCCACTTAATTTAACAGCCTCTTTTATACCGATCTGCCGGTAATAATGACCTGTTTGGGAGACTGGTATCTAGAGCCTCATATACCGGTCTGGCGGTCGATATTGGGTTTGATTTGGCATCAGGGGGTCCTCACATAGCAAGCAGGCCGCCTACCTCTAACGTCCCCTCCCTCACCATCACTGAACCTCTCCCCCACTCCTTCACTCCTGCTCTTCCCCCCCCCCCCCACACAAGACCGTTCTGGGAAATGGCTCAGTAAATTGCCTGACAGCCAGAGACAGACTTGAGAATCTTCATCTAATACAATAAAGCATTCCTGAAACAAGTATTTATAACTTTTTATTATCCTAATAATATTACTAAACAAAATCTGCAACCAAAAATATAAATGATGATGTATATCCAGAATTTATTTAATAAACATCTGGTTCACTGGGTCAAGTGTCAGGCTTAGCAGTGAGCTGGTCCCTTCCCCCACCACCGACACCCCCCCCCCCCTCCCGCCCCCCGACCCACCCATACACTCACTCTCTGCTCAATTCGACACCCATCCCTCCCTCCCTCCCTCCTTCCATCCCTTTCTCCCTCCATCCCTCCCTCCCTCCTTCCATCCGTCCCTCCCTCCCATCCATCCATCTCCCTCCTTCCCTCCCTCCATCCCTCTCACCATCTCCCTCCGTCCCTCCCTCCATATCTCCCTTCTTTCATCCCTCCCACCGTCTATCTATCTCTCCTTCCATCTCTCCCTTCCCCCCCCTCCACCTCTCCCTCCCTCCTTCCATTCCTCCCTCCCCCTCCTTCCATTCCTCCCTCCCCCTCCACCTCTCCCTCCCTCCTTCCATTCCTCCCTCCCCCTCCACCTCTCCCTCCCTCCCCCTCCACCTCTCCCTCCCTCCTTCCATCCCTCCCTCCCTTCCACTATCCCTCCCTCCATCCATCCAGAATTTATTTAATAAACATCTGGTTCACTGGGTCAAGTGTTAGGCTTATCTGTGAGCTGGTCCCTTCCCCCACCACCCACACCCCCTCCCCCTCCCGCCCCCCGACCCACCCATACACACTCTCTCTGCTCAATTCAACACCCATCCCTCCCTCCCTCCATCTCTCCCTCACTCCTTTCCTCCTCCCTCTCCTTCCTCCATCTCTCCCTCCTTCCATCTCTCCCTCCTTCCCTCCCTCCATCTCTCCCTCCATCTCTCCCTCCATCTCTCCCTCCTTCCCTACCTCCCTCCCTCCATCTCTCCTTCCCTACCTCCCTCCCTCCCTCCCATCCTTCATCCCTCCCTCCCTCCATCATCCCACCCATTCATCTCCATCCTCTCCCTGCCTCCCTCCAGAGCTCTGCCTGCCTGCCTGCCTGCCTCCCTCCCAAGCTCTGCCTGCCTGCCTCCTTCCGTGCCTCTCCCTGCCTGCCTGCCTACATTTCAACCTCTCCATCTCGGCCTGCCTGCCCATCCACCCACCAGTCAGCCATCACTGACACAATGAGTGCATTTGGAGCCAACATGGTGCACGGATGTTCCTTGATTGTGCAGATATGTCCAACAAAGTCACGGAATGAACACTACAGCCTCTTGACAAATCAAAACAATGTGCCGTGAATCTGTGACGTCACAGGGTAGAAGGCACTAGAGTGGTGGTCTATAAAAAATATATCTTACCTGAATGTTACTTGAAAAAAAAAAGACACTTAACTTCTGAAATACCGGAGCCCCGGAAATAACGACCAGGGTACAGCTCCATATAGGCCGTTAAATTGAGTGGATACTGTATACACATATATACATATATATTATGTATATACACCTACACATACATACACACACAACACACAAGGTATGTTACATACACGTGCGTATGCACATACACATGTGTACACATGTACATGCACATGTACACACACAAATACATATGAAAAGAAAATTACAAGCCGCCAACCAGTGGGCAGGGAGCACTATGCCGGCCAGGAGAAGAAGGCACAAAACTGCATCAAACGGCCCACCTCGACAACAAAACCCCAAAGTCCCAGCACGGCCACAACACATGCCAAGACCCAAAGAAATCAGTCTGCAAGCCAGGAAGACCCCGGAACCCCAGAAGGCAGAACCGGATCTCACACGAGGAAACAAAACCCCCTGAACCCACAAAGGGGGCCAAAGAGGAAGAAACCTCCAGAACGAAACCAAAGAACCCAAAGGAATCCGGAATCGAACCAGGGGGAGCCCAAACCAGCACATTTGCCGGCAGAGATAAACCACAGAGAGAACCCCCAGGGAAACGGTCAAAACAGACCGAAAACCGAGGGACAAGGTATGGGAGCAAGCATAACGGACAGGAATACTGAGCCCAAACAGACAAAACGGAAAACCCGGTGCAAAATCAACACTCAAACGTTCCCAGAGGAACAGGAAACGTGCAGAAAACAACAGAAAAGCAAAGAAATGACAACAGGAGAATAAAACCCCTGAAAAAGGTTTAAAATCACCCAAGACGCTTGCTCGCACACCAAGGCGCATGTAAACAAACCGCAACGCCGCCCTGGTAGCCTCGCCGGGAAACCGGCAGAAGAAAATAGCCACCAGAACAGAGGGCTGTGACTGACGCAAAAGATACGAAAACACGCCAGCAAAAGTGGGAAGCAAGCAAACTGAATGGGCGAAAAACTCAGCCCAGAAGCAGAAAACCCAGGCAGGGGCAAACTGCCCCAGAACTGCCAGCAGGCATCCCCCATAGCCCCGGGAACCCGCAACAGAGGCCCCGGGGCAGAGCCGCCCTTAAAGAAAAGGAAGAGTCCATGGGAAAGGCAGCAAGAAAGGGCCGCTGGTAAGACCCAGAAGCCTTGGCAGGAGAAACAGGCTCGAAAACATCCGTCCCCAACCCGAACGGGGCAGCCCCCGAAAACCGCCCGAGTCTCGGCCCCAACTAAACCCCACCCCGACTCCGAAACCTGCAGACAGTCCAGAGCCGGGAACAGGGAGGGGGGGGGGGGGCAAACAGCACCTAACCAAAACGGGGCGGCCTCGGGGCATCCAAGTGGGAAACCAACCTAGCGTGCTGCAGCAACCTAACCTAGCTTGCAACACTGATGCCGCCTGTACTCTGAACAGTAATAACATCAGGAGAGTACTGGAAAACAAGCAGAGAATCTCCCTCGCAAGACTCCGGGTCAAGGTCTCAGTGACCCAACAGGCAGCATGACGGAGGTAAAAGTGGCAACTGTCACCCGGAGACAAGGTCACAGCAACCAACGATCCCATACAAGACGGGGTGGGACCCGGAAGACATTCAATGGTCCACCGAGACCCGACAGGGGTTTCCAGGGCCCGTAGGGGTAACAACTACGGGAAGCCCAGGCAAGGTGTTGCTAACCGGTTAAACACCCAAAATTAACAAGGGGGTAGAGTATAACACTGAAAACCACTGCGGCGTGTACAATCACGGGGGGCCTAGCAAAGGGCCACCAAACACTACCAGTGGAACTATAGCCACACTAGGCAGACCCCCACCAGGCAAAAGAAAAACCCCGCAAAAGTATACCGTCTCCAGAGGCAACAGGAATCGGTCGCCGCTTAGGTGGCAGGTCGCGCAACACCTTGATGCCCTAACCAGCACAATACCAGTCCCTACCCAAGGTCAAACAAGTGCCCCAAGCCCCAGCTGGCCCCAAGGGCAAGACAAATGCCGAGCAGCAAGAACATCTACGGGAATGGTTCCCGAACGCTCCAGGGAAGATAACTTTGTCACGCATGGGCAGTACTCACAGGGCGCTTAGGAAAGTAAGCCACTAAGCGCATGCAGCCCCGGCACTGATGAGGTACTCCTGGCCACCGCACAACACAACACACGGCAGTGAACACCACACAAGGCAAACACCACCTAGGAAACTGAGGCCAGAGAAGCATCTATCCCGGTTGACATTAGCTTACGAACTGATGCTAGGCAGCCGGCGTGGTAGGTCCAGGGCTCCCCCCTCCCCCTCTCGGGGCGGGGTAGGCTGCGCCGATGATCAGCGGGGAAGGCTGCGCCGATGATCGGCGGGGAAGGCTGCGCCGATGATCGGCGGGGAAGGCTGCGCCGATGATCGGCGGGGAAGGCTGCGCCGATGATCGGCGGGGAAGGCTGCGCCGATGATCGGCGGGGAAGGCTGCGCCGATGATCGGCGGGGAAGGCTGCGCCGATGATCGGCGGGGAAGGCTGCGCCGATGATCGGCGGGGAAGGCTGCGCCGATGATCGGCGGGGAAGGCTGCGCCGATGATCAGCGCGGCAGTAAAGTGTGATGTTTGCTTGTTTCCTTGGGATTGGAGGGAGTTTCTACCCCTCTGTTCGTTTTTTTGTTTTAGTTTTACCATGTGGGGTTTGTTTTGTTATGCCTACCTTTCTGGGTGCCTAATCCCGGTCGATGGCAGATAAGGAAAACCCCAACCACAAGGGGGTTTTCCAGGGCCATTGTTCCCTGAAACCTCTCTGAAGGGGCCAGGTTCTGGCATTGGTCCCTGGTAGGTCTGAACTCCTTAGCTAATGTCCCGGTCTAATTTAACATACATTAGCCCGATAAGCTCCAGGGAGCTGTAGGGGCACCCCACAGAAAAGTTAAAAAAAATAAAAAACCTGCATTGAATGTAAAGAAACACCATTTTCTGTGCGAGACTTGGAGGCTCCCTGGAGCTAACCAGGGGCCAGTTTCATGAAAGCACTTAAGCAAGCACTTACGAACTTGTACATCTTTTCTCAATCTTTGGTGGCTTTGTTTCCAATTATTAAACAGCTAATGAGCTCCGAAGCACAAGAAGGCTGTTTATAACAATAACAACAGTTGAATGGGAAGTTTTCATGCTTGTAAACTGTTTAATAAATGAAACCAAAGCTGTCAAAGATTGAGGAAAGATGTACACGTTCGTAAGTGCTTGCGTAAGTTCTTTCGTGAATCTGGCCCCAGGCTGATGCGCTAACATCAGTCATGTGTATGGAGTTCTGTGGTTCTACAGGCAATGGCTTATAGAAACCTCCGTATGGTTGGAAGCATTCTATATCTGCCATTGACCGGGTCAGGCACCCCAGAGAGGTAAGCGTCCCAAAACAAACCACTATTCTGGTGAAAATTGCCACAAAAAGCCAAACATGTGGATAGAACTCCCCAAACAGAAACGAGCAAACGAGCATGACGTCACACGTCCCCGCGCTGCTGTCTGCGCAGCGTTTCCTGCTTCCCGGGAGGGGGAAGGGAAGCGGGAGCCCCAGACCCCCACCAGCCATCCACACTTCAGTCCTGAGGCTGGACATGCCGACTGGGGGGGAGGGAGGGATGCCGGAGAGCCTCTGGGTCTCGCCCAGAAAATGGCATTTCATTACATTCAACGCTGGTTTTTTGGGGGGAGCCCCTTCGGCTCTCCGGAGCTAACTACTCGCAGAGGAAAACCAGAGGACTTACCTGGGAGGCGGTCGCTGCTCACTCCTCAACCCAAGACGAGACAAAAGGCTGCAACCGCCGACCCAAAGCGACACATGCTCAACTAGGCCATTGGAACGTTCAGGAGGTAGCACGCCAACCTGTCCTCTTAAAAAGAACGTCGCTTTTGGCCGTTTGCCCGTATGGCCGAATATGGACGTAATTTGAAAATGAAAAAAAATTGAAAATAAATTTGGGATTTTTTTTTCAACAACAGTAAGTTAAGGGTCCTCTGATAGGTTAGGTGGGCAGGAAATTCTCATAAAGTTTCAAAACGTTATGAAAAATGTTATTTGAAAGTTCCTCTTCTAAGCTGTCCGAGGAGAGCCGGACGACTCAAACAGAAAACGGAACAGAACGTCACTTTTGTGAGTCGATTTCATTTCAAATTACGTCCAAATTTGGCCATAGTGCGCATACAAGCCAAAAGTGACGTTATTTTTAAGAGGACGGGTTGAGCACGCAGCCAAGACTCTGTTCGACCGCCAAAAACCCTGCACTCAAATGTCAGCCCAGGACATGTTGCCAAAGACAGTAGCAAGAGCAGCAAACTTACGAACATCACGGGCACGGGGATAGACCACAGGCTGGTTAGTCTTAACCTTGCGGATGACCTGGGAGACCCGCACCTACGAACAGGGAAGAAGGGAAACTGGACCAACCCAAAGCGCGTCCCCGGACACAGATGCCATGGCACGCAAATAACTGCGGAGGGCCGCAACCGGACACAAAGGATGATGCACCCCTGGCCTGACTAACCAAGCACCAACAACCCGAGGACCTCTCTGGAAAGCAGCCGTCTCATTCTTAGCCAGAAAAGAAGGAGACGGCTGCAACCGAACAAACCTTTCACCAGGACCAAAAGAGCAGAAACTCCTGTGCCGGAAAAGAGCATGAAGCTCCCCGACCCGATCCCCAGAGGCCAATGCCAACAGGAAAAGAGCCTTCGAGAAACAATCCTGAACCGAAGGGGACAACAAAGTGAGGAGGAGAGAGATAGGAGAGCACTGTCCAAATTATTAGGACGGTTCAGGCTGCGCATGAGCAGGCCGAAGGTGAAACAACGCATGAGACAGCTTGCGAAACGGCGCAGAAGTAACATCTATACCCAAAGCAAGCTGAAGCGGCTCCACCAGCACCGCACGATACGAGGCGACAGTATTCGGCATAAAATGATGGTCCTGGAACAATCAAGAGATAAAGGACACTACCCGAACTGAAAGCGAAGCACAACAACGAAGAGTCAAAAAGAAACGGAAGGACCGACAGGAAACTTCATACTGTTGCCGAGACGAAGCCCGCAGGTGGAACACCAACAAGGAAGCCACCAGATCCCCATAGAGATGATGATAAATTTGAGTAAAAAATACCATACGCTTAGACTCAAGGAGAAGATCGAATCAGCCATGTGACACACCGGTCTGATGTGCTGAAAGAGGCGGAACTGCTGGAAAACCTCCAAGTTCAGACACTGAGCAAGCAGCACCTGAAACCACAGCTGGGCCGGCCACCACGGGGCCAAGAGGACTACTCTTCCCCTGGTAAGTCTCTAAGCGAGTCAGGACTCGGAGCAACAGCTGAACCGGGGGAAAGAGGCACAGGAACCCCCACCTCGACTAGTGTTGCCGAAAAGCATCGACCCCGACGGCCTTGCCGACGCGAAGAGGTCCATGTCCGGCAGAGCAAACTGAATGAGTCGGCGTCGACCGTCCATTCCGTGGACAAGGGAACAAAATGAGACAGGCTGTCCGCCAAGATGTTGGACACACCCCGAACGTGAACAGCCAGGAGAGCCAAACCCCGTAAACTCAGCAGACAAGTCACTCAAAGCGACCAGCCCCAAAGATCCAAGGATCACATCGAACCCCACCCTCGATTCAGGCAATGAACCACTGGGGGAGCAGTCCGAATAGAGCTGGATCATCGATCTGCGGGTGACCCGAATCTTCTGAAGAGCAAGCCACGCCTCCGCAAACTCCCACACTGTACTGTGGGCCTGACAGAAGGATGGACCCCACAGTCTCTGGCCGACCTGGAGAGCACTGGTCACAAAGCCCCAGCTGAGAGACGACGCATCCGTGAATACATCGAGCGAGGACTAGGGCAGGCACTAAAGCACTGAATCCAGAAAAACCCAAAGAGAAAGCCGGCGACCCAGCAGCCAACCCAAGGCCCCCAGGGGCTGAACCCAGCAATTGCGAGAGGTGGATGGGACTTCCCCGAAGGAACCAGAACAGCCGACGAAGCCAAACCTGGCCCGCCGGGTAGACCATTGTCACGAGGGGTGGCCCGGGGCTCCGCTAGTAAGGGGGCTGCTAGGGGGCTCAGGACAGAATACTCAAGTCTCTCTGATTCACGTGACTCACAAGCGTCACTCGGTCCCACCAGGGGGGGGGGGGGGGGCAGTAATTCCCACCACTGAGGGTGCCACTGATTCACCCGAGAGCCCTTCAGTCAACCACGGAGAAACTGCCATTTAGCAATTCCGGCTTAGACCCATGGAGGAGTGAAGGAAGACCCAGGCTTACCTTTTAACAATACAGTCCCCGAATCTTGCCTGCCAGACAAAAAGTTGCAGGAATCCCTTTCCCGCCTGCCTTCTCATGTTAACAAGGTCGCCAGCTAGGTTGATATCTCTGCACCCCATCAATGCAGATCAGTGGGTATACACTATGTTGCTCATTGCCAAAGTGTTGCTACTCCTACAGGTTTCATACGGGACTGACAGTCCAAGGTACACTTCCATAAAAGTCTGTGTTGCGTTACCACTCTCCAGCCACTAAGAACTTCAATGGAAAAAGTGATGTTCACTAGGTGGGCCTATGATATCCCTCGTGTATGCTCATAGAGATCATTATGGAGGCGCACTTAAACACAATGATAAAATGTGTGATATTTACTAACATAAGCTACATAAGCTACATATACGTACAAGTAATGATAGAAATGGATATAAAGCATAAATAATCTGGAGATCATCGGTAACTCTTCTCTTACGACCTCATGGAACTCCTTCAGCTGGGCAGGTTTAAAAAGGGGTCTCTCACCCTCTCACAGGGGGCCCCTTCGTCAACGTCTGCCAACTCCTCCCCACCAGCTTCGTCGTCCACACATACACTGTCCTCTTCAACAGTCCGGGACACAAGCTGACTTACAGCTTATCCTAATACTAATATATCAATGTTATATAGAAACATGTATAGATAAATATTGTGGCCTACCTAGCCTACTCAACAAAGGGAAATGGGGAGGGAAAGTGATCTACCATTACATTCCTGGCTCACGATGCCTGTCCCTCGATGGTGTGAGGTTCTCACGCTTCCTGAGTCGGTCCTTGATCCAGGAACTTGCCACAAGTCCTCAGGTGTTGTGAAGCCATCGCGTCGTCGCCAAACCACTCCCAGCATTTCAGATATCCCAATCCTGGTTCACCCAGTTGGCACAGAGCTATTCATTGTATACACACACACTAGTTCCTTCCACAAGGTGTTGTTCCTTGTCCTAGGATGTTGTTGTCTCTCCAACGCTCTCAGTGGTTGTGACCCGGTCACAGCAGGCCTGCTCGCCACACCATCCAGTCCCTCAAGTGTTAAGCGACGTCCACCAGCGTCGTCGCCGACCAATTCTTCAAGTTTCGGCACTTCTCTGCTCAATAAACTTCGTTTCTTCTTGCTTCATGGAAGTACAGGTTCTCCAATAACAATGGCGGGCTGTATGGCTAGCTTTAATCCACTGAATAAGGCTCCCAGAGTCTCCAATCCTCGAGAGCTGACCGAGAAACGTCCTTCCACTCTCAC